CAGCCAAAACAGCCTTCCCCGTTATTTTTTTGCGGACTCAGGATGGCATCATTGGTGGAAATAGTCACCTTGGCAGCACTCCGGTCCTCGCTCTTTCACACGCCCTCATACATTTGCAGGGATAATTACTGTGTATATATATCCTCGGGAGCAACAAGTTTCGGAGCTGTGGCAAATGGCCATTGTCAGGAAGGGAACTATACAGCGAATCCCGAGATGTGGTAGGCTACTTCAGTTTAACATGGCGGTTGCTCCGTACTTTGTGGACAAATTCAGCTGGGACAATTCTGGTCCTCTCCTCAGATGTCTTTGAGCTGTCTTCGTCCAACAGGAGGCGGGATGATAGCTGCCTCGTATAATAGCCCGCGAGAAAGATCTTACGCTATGAACGAAAAAAGCAGCCACGCCCACCCCATCTGCAGGGTAATAATGTATGTCAAAACTATGCAAGATTTCAGATTCATGCTTGCTGCTTCACAGAGTAATTTAATGGAGTTCGTGCAATGGTGTACTGTGGGTGTTGTTGGTGCAATGCCCCCTATCTTCTGGGGTATAAGGCACTCATTCGCATGCATAGTCACTTGAAACGTTTCGTATTATAGCAGCAGGTTTTTTTTTAATTTTTGCATATTCTAATTCTATAATTGCCTTTGAGTACCAATATTAAAAAAATCAGTTACGCAGGCAAGAACGCACACAAAATATGCTTCAGAGCGATGGTGCGCCCCTATCCACGGATGCACCTCATACTGCAGGATAAGGTATTACCCTAATAGGGCAGCAAGGTGACAGATGGCTAATCTACAACACCAGCTCGGTCTGAATCACGTTGTAGAAGTAGTTTACAAGTCATTGTAGAAGTTAGTGACAGGCACCCTAGACATAGCCTGATCATGACTGAGCTCATTATCTCTTAACGAGTTTATTAGGCATCCGCTTCTCAACTTCCTCCCCATCCAATCACTCATCTTCTTCCAAGTCAATCGTTGGCAAATTGTGACGTCAATGTTTTCGTGTTCCTGAAATTCGGGCCGATAATTACACCTATGTAAAGCAGACAGGAAATGAGTTTTCCACGAATTACCTCTCCATTTCGTTCTGTAACTACTATTGAACATTGACTCTAGCCTTGCAGCCCTCTTCATTACTCTTCACAATAAGCTAATTCTGTCTTAGTTAAACTAACTAAGAATAATTGATTCCAGATATTTCACTTCTGAGTATTTAGAAATTTGCTCTATTTGTTTGTTTATTCACTTATTTAACTATTTATGCCGTGACTAAACGCGCAAGTATGGATAGCAGTGGCTGAACTGTGTCCGAGTAGCTCGCTTGCAAGAAGTGCGAAAAGAAAAAAAACTAACAATTCAGGAAAACAGGCAGGATACAGTCCTCCCGAAAAGTGCGCGTGAAATCAAATGTGTCACCAGCCCGGGGTGAGACCTGAAAGCGAGAGCGGCGGTAATTCCGCTTTGATTTCAATGGGAAAACCTAGGCTACAGCAAAGAATTGGAAGTTGAGCCTCGCGCTTAGTCTGCTAGTGAGCCAACCTGTAGATAATTGTTTTACTAACTGTTGCACCCCAGTATGATTGTTATTAAGGACGGCTTCCGCAATGACGTAACAAGTGGAGTGTTCCCGCCTACTTGGAAGCCTGATCCGCAGTCGCAGAGTGTACACCAATTTCGTCACTCGAAAATGCGAGATTAAAGCGCCAGAAACGTAAGGCGTGCACCTTTCCATATCTTCGTCTCCCATAGATGCCCACACGATGACTTGTGTTGGGCGCTTGATTGCTGTGCCGTTGCTTGAAGCGTCGCTGGGTGCTCGACTTTGTGTCATTCTGCTTTCTTATAAACCCTTTCCCTAGGTTGTGGCACTGCTTCAGCTTACCAATGATGCAACTGCAGTGGTACAGTGACTCATTGGATTACTGTAAATCCTTAATTTGCACTGAGACTTTCCCAAAGATCTAGTTTGCTGGCATGAATTTAGCAGGTCAGGGAAACTCGTCCAGCCAAAAGGGTCGTATTCAGCGTCGTTTTTCGGCCATTCCTTCTCGGCCGCTTCGTTTGCTTTTGGCATCGCTTTCGAGTCACTGAGTGCCTACACTTTCGTTTCTGAATCTCATCATGGCTGAATTTTGAATCACACTATTGACAAACCATTGAGCCGAGAGGATAGAAGATGGTGGTGTGCACCATATCACTGAAAAGGGGTGGGCGTGGCCACGTCTCTCTGGGCTATTGTTGTCTTGGGTCACCTGTAATCACGTGTTTGTCCAGCATCAGACAGGATGACAGTGCTTGAAATAAAATTATCTCACGAAAAATGTATCCACTACCGTGCTATAACGAAGAACGCGGGCACTCCTACCCCAGCTAGAGGATATGAAGTTTGACTGCTACGGCAAAAATCTACCAGATGTGGAAATTAGGTTGAAGACCCCGCCAGAGCCATCCTATCACACATTACTTAGGCTTTCGTGGTAACTTTCGCAAGTAAAACAGTGGCGATGCACAGCAGCAACAGAAATTGGGGGGTAGATCGCTGACGTTTTAAGCAGTATGACAAATTTTAGCTATTTTCTTAATAATTCGACGAACTTTTGCTGTGAAAACCTGCTGGAAAGCTCGGAGGGATGTTCGCTGTACATCCTCCTGAATGTAATCTTAGTGTTTCTTGCCAATTTTATGGAGTTTTTCCTTGCTCAGACTCTAATTGACTCCTTGGCGAGCATGAGCCTTACTACAGAATACTCTTGCAGTAACATAATATCAAAATGAACTTTTCGTTGATATATTCGACCTTTCGGAGGGGTTTTAATGACACTCACTTGATTGTACCAAATACCAAAGTTTTTCAGTGAGATCATAAGGGAGACACGTATAAAAGGGATGACTACTAGCTGCTTCATAGATGTATCGCCAGAAGGGCTCAGCCTCTAAGTCGTCTTCTCGAGCGATTTAAATCCAATTTCTCATGTTTACATAAATACTATCATCCTGATGACTTTTCAGCACTGTTCTTTCACAAATCTTTAAAATAAAATTTGTATATTTCTTGCGGAAATGATCACAAATAAGTACAGTACACTAGTAACTTCCTCTAACTCGAATGAGTTCTCAAATATAGAAGCCTATATGAAGCCTAATTCGAAATCTGAATCTTCTAATTAAATTACTAAGCTCAAACGCATGTGATGTGCTCTGTTACCTGAGCCATGTGAAACTGTTGTGCCCGGTAATTACTGGTAATTATTTTCCTATTGTAGCCTTGAATTAGCCTGTTCTTTTGATTTACTTATACTCATTATGTGTACTTTTCTGAATGCGATGTATCGCATGGCTCAGTGTCTTTTGTTGAGCGGACAGACTTCGCTCATCTCTCATCCATCGGTTTCAACCAGCATCACTGAAGCCCTTGATAGGTTCCCCCCCCCCTGATACCTTGAACCTTGTAACTTGTGCCAGATCATGACGATAGACTTTTGAAGGATTTTTGGCACTATTCACCCTTTACTGCATCACTTTTCGAAATGCAAGGCAGATTTTGTTAGAAATATTCCTCCGATGGTAAACCTGACTGCAATTTCGTTCTCTAGGGTCACTAACTCTTTCAACGCGAGCATCACATCTACCCATTGTGAGAGCGCTCATTCAAAGCCCCTGTCAAAACCTCCCAAGTTGCTGAAATTGTGTCTTCAAGGTATTTTGATCTTATCACTATCAAGATCACATCTTTGGCGCGGGACAACCGGCTCCAGGTAGAGAGCACTGGTATGGGTGACATGGACAAGGTGATACGCACATCTCCAGCGAGAGGACGGGTCGTATTTGTTAGCTGGGGGGAGGGGGTTGAAGTGACCCTTGCCTCTAAGGAAAATGTTATTGTATGATGACTTTCGGTTTTTCCTGTTTCACGTTAAATATGTAACCCCTTCCATCCACCCCATCCCGCTCCCTCAACACTGGCTTTTTCAGGGGAACCTGCGAGACATTTCCGGAGGAACCCCAGAAAGGAGCTAGAGAGATGAGAAAAGTTAGGAGGACAGTAAACTAGAAGAGGAAAAGTTGAAGGGGAAGGGCCGTATTCCGCGAAAATCCTCCCAAACGTGGGAGGTGCTTTGCACGCACAGAACCTATACTTTTGCCGAATTTCTCCAGAATTTTGCCGTCGAGCGGAAGGAAGACTATAGACACCTACAAACAACTCTGAGAATAATTGCTTTTGCCTAGCCGCTAAATGAGGATGGGTGTATTGTGGAATAACTATCAATTGGAAAATTTTACTTCGGAGCCAACACAGCCCTGCTGATGGGTTTCGCTCGGCGCCACTGTACCTCGCTCGGCTCCTGCGCAAGAGGCGTCGCCTCCAAAACTGTTGTGCAGCGTTAGCATCTATATATGGCTCAAACGCCAAGCATATTTTGCTTCGAGCGTATGTGGTTTTCATGTTCACGGGATCAAATTGATACATCCAGCCAGATTCATCAGGGGAAGAATCCCGGAAAATGGCTCAAAGTTCGAAAATTGGTGCAGTAGTGGGTGAACACTGCCAAAATTTTCAATACAGTGCCATATTACCTTGTCAAAGGCAAACTATACTATATATCAGAGAAGGAGAGGCACTGCGTACTTCACTTGAACACGGCGTAAAATGAGTTCTTGGTGGGTTGTTCGCATTTCGAACATCTGTCGTCCATCCTTGTGCGTGGCAAAGGCTTGATTAGATTTGTCCCAAAACGGCAACATCTTGGCAAAAGCGCGAAAGCCACCACGTTGCAGTGCTGTATGCAGTCACGCCCACTCAATCTCGTAGATATGTGGCGCACTTCTTCGTCCTATCGTGATACTTTTATCTTTCACCTCCTAAGATCTAGTTACTCCCTTCAGCCCTGCCTCCCTGATCCTTCCTTCTTCCATCGACATTGCTATTGCGCTCTCTCATTTTATTTTTGGGTATGTTTATGTATTTATTTACCGGTGTTTACAGTTATAATGTCTGGTACGTGCGTCATCGCCGCCATTGCTATTGTTGTAGCTGTAAATAGTATGGCTGACGCCATTAGACTAGTGAGTGGCCTACCATTTTTTTGATCTTTATTTTTTATTTAGAGAAACCTTAACCTACAGTAATATGTTTCCAGCGAGAGTACCGACGCCCACAGTGCACACCAGAGCAGACATGTTCATACGAAGCTTTCGGCATGGTATTCGCACTGTGTGACTGCCCGGGTGAAAACCAGTCATGTCCACAAGATGAAGAAAATGCGGTTGAGCATCGAGGGACACTATATAATGTGAGTTGCTTTTTCAGCCTAGTTTTTGATCCAGAACCGGGCGCTAATAAACTTGTGTAGGACGGCCTGCTTCAGAAGCTCTGTGCAAAATTTATTGAGCTCCGTTATGGAAAAGGAGGTTCTTGCAGAAAGGCGGAAAGACCTCGGTGTGGGTAAACAAATTTCAAGTACGGTAATTCTATTCGGATGACGTAAATCCCAATCCCATCAAAACTATCCTTCCTTCCTTCTCTCTTCCTTGGCCCTTGTTTTCCTCCCTTCGAAAGCTCGGTTAGGCGATACGATGATAAAATACCTTGAACCCTCTCAGCAAGAGAGCAGCTGGTTGAGAGAAACCCTCTAGATGCACCCCCTCCCTCAAACGAATGGCTCGAATGCCAAATAAGCTCCTCTAAACCGGTTCTAAGACCTGTGGACTGGAGACAGGTGCTAATTAATCCAATTTTCTATGATCTGCACGTATCTGCCTGTGTGTTTCGTTTCAGTAAATGGCTATGGCTAAAAAGACCCTAGTTATCTTCTTGTGAGAGAAAAAGATCATCTTTCGTAGCCAACCGAGTTACTATACTTAATGTACTATGATTCCCTATCGCCGAGAAATGTAGTATTCTTTGAGTGCAGCTGGTCAAAGGGGCCTTGGCTTCCATCTTCAAGAAATGCTGGCTAGACTCTGAGCGAAATTACACTCTTATTGTCGCTGCGGATGATGAAGAGAGTCAAAAGGGATGCTTTTGGCGCGGCGCCAAACCCGTTTACAACCAGTTGTTGGAGCGAGAAAGGGACCAGGTTGTATCATATCGTACTTATCCGTCGATTTTCACCCACTGTTGTCCCTTAACCGCTTCAACAACTGGTGGAGAACGAGCTGGCGACGTGCCAAACCCAGCCTCACTGACCGCTCTGTCATCGCCAGCGAACCGGATCAAACCATTCGGGAGAGGGTTTGGGCGAAACCACTCACTTGGAAGAATATTTCTCTAAATGCAATTATAAAATCCGTTGGGTGGGGCCATCTGACGCCCTCCTCCACAGAGGCTATTTCAGATCACCTAATAAAGATTAGCACCCTGCGATGGTTTCAGCTCCTAAAACGGATACGAAATCAGATTTACGTGAAATCGCGGCAAAATCCAAAGCTCATGACTCAGGTATCTGACTGCCACTTGTGACGGATCTCCATATTTTTTTCGGGTTTTCTTTCAGCTTGGGATTTCACGCAGCGCTCAAGAGTGCCAATTAAATAGAAGAAGATTGAAGTGCTGTCCACCTCGGGTTAAATTCTAGGCATCTAGTTCCTTCAGTAATTCTGCAGTTTGTGCTGACGATAATGTTATCCTCTTATGCAGATGGTGTGGAAATCCTATTACTACAGTTCCTGTATAGGATAGAAGCCGGAAGTGAGTGATGGCATGTGCCGTCATTCACCTTGCACAAGATCCAGGCTTTGATTGAACTGCAAAATCTTGTTTGGAACAGCAAAGCCTTTTACCTCATCGGGGTCAATCATCAGTACCGGACGCAAAACACTGGCTTACTTACAAAATAAATTGTATGTATCGCTCAAACCTGATTTAATGGTTACTGTGATTTTGTGACGGAGTGAAATGCATGGCGCGTACTCAGAAATTTCGATGAGAAACGCGATCATTGCCAGCACCATTACCTTTTGTCCTGTGACTATTTTGAGATGTAAATATGTAGGTGGAAGGTGCTCTTGAGCTCAGTGGCTCATTTCAACGCCATATTCGTGGACAAATAATCGGGAGCCGTGACAGCTAGATGAGAGTTATAGCCGAGTGGTAAGGGTCTAATCTAACGAAGACCTGGTCAGACTCGACTGCTCTGGTGTGACTTGTCCTGGTCATGTTCCAAACAGGGCCCGCTTGTGTTGGTGTAGGAGGACATCTCCAGCCCAATGTCCGTCTGCCGGAGTTGGTCTTTCTGATCAGCTGTCAGAAGTAACGAAGTAGAAGAAAAAAGGAAATAGTACTAGCAACACTGAGGCGTCGTCGACAAGGGTAGCACAATCAGGGCAGGCCCTGCCGATGGGGAGAAATTCTGCGAAATGAGACCCTACTCAAAATTTACTCCTCTGGTACGACCCCTTTCCCTTCCCTATTACCTACCATCTCCCTTACTTCTCCCAACTGCCTACTTCTTTCCCGTTTTTCCGGAGCTTTTTTTGCCAAAATTCTTCAGTCCCTTCCGAGAAGCCGTTTAGAGGGGTATTTAGCGCACACGTAAAAGAGAAACTTGAAAGACAAAAGTCAGAAGCATTTTAGCAGAGGCAAATACCATTTCCACCCCCCCCCCTTCAGTGGCGAAATACAATCCCTTCTTTGAGATCCCCAAGATGCGGCGTGCACCAGACGCAACAAAAAAAATTTCTGCCAGACTGTTTACGACTCTTCCAGGGGTCGAATACGACTCTAGGCCTGCTTGCTTTCGAACCAGGCCACTGAGCTTCAGAAATAACCGTTCTTTTGCGCGGGAGAACCGGCTGCGCTTCTTGAAAATGATGTTTAAGTGAACTGTTTTCAGTTTTGCACTACCCGAAACGTGCCAGTGTGCGAAGACGGCCAGATATCTACAACAGTAAGCGGAATTCAGACCGCAATCTACTGTGTTTGCCCCGATAGTAATGAGATGGTTCAACAACCGACTCAAATTAAAGATGTGACGAATTATACGTGCCATCAGGTAACTTGTGACACTTTGTGCTATATTGTGACTAAATTGGATCGTCTTACGTCATCAATTACTATAATTCCTTGTCGCCAAGAAAAGTAGTATTCTTGAGTACAACTGGTCTTAAAAGGGATCTAATAAGGTGAATGTTCTACAGCTGTACTCCGAAATCGACAAAGTTGTTCCAAATACGAAAAACTACAACACTGGAATGGATCACTACAGGTGGTTTACCAGTGATGCATGAAGATCAAACCCGTTTTTTGAATACCACTTTTACTAGGCCCCCACTAGCATCCTAACAGCATTTCGCGTGTCCTACATCTACTAACAGCTTGTGTAATGTGTGAAGAGAGAAATCAGTCCTCTTCGCGTACTTTCGGCATTTTTTCGGCGCTGACGTGGAGAGATTACCGATAAAGGGCTTAAGATTCATTGTCTAATTTTATATGAGATTTGCCACTCGGGCGTTAACACTAGCGACTTCTAATTAACTCATAACAGCGTTCGAGCAATTCTAACTGGTAATTGAAACAATTAAAAATACCTAGACGAGCACTTGATAGCTCGGGGAAATTCATTTATGATTTAATTTCATTCCTTTTCATGCGGATCGCATCATTCATTAATACTATGACGACTTCTCTGTTCTTCGAATTGAGTCTCATACGAAAAGACAGGGCACGGCATCGGCGGGAAGTTGTAGTCGAGGGGAGACGGATGGGAGGAAGGGGGGGGGGCTAATTCGATCTTTTCCCTCAACACGATAATGTGGTCCAATCGTAGAGTTAGACAAAGCTGAACCCTGAAAGTTACCTGCTTGTGGCACCACCAATGGAATTGATCAAGTAATCTCGCCTCTTAAAATGGTCACCACTTCACTGACCACTGAGGGGGCTGGAGTTGCCCTGATACGCCACCTGTTTAGTTTTTGGCCCGGACGGTGTGCTGCACATGGTGAAACACGTGGCCAGTAGGATGTGAGTCGTTTCGCTTGTTTTCTCAGCCAGCCTCTATGCTCCAAAGTTGAGAAAACTCGTTTTCGCGGACGGGAAATAGATGCACCTCAACCAATGAAGCTACTGGGTATTACTGCTATTGTACAAAGAACAAAGAAGATGAAATAATGCGGAGATACATGCAAAAGGCTGTAGGCAACAGGTGAAAGTGTTTCAAGAGATTTATGTTGCGGTGGCGCGGCGATAGTGACGTCGCCAGTGACGTCACGCGTAGTGATGACTGCGTGTTCTGATCTACAATAGTTTCTGCGTCGCATCGCAACACGGATCTTCCATCCGGCAGCCTCTTTCGGAGTTTCCCTTGAAATGGCCAGCCTGAGTTGTTGGGATTCCCAGGCAATTTCATAGGGGACTAACTAGCAATTGTAATTTGTCGCGTCACGTATCATGCGGCGACGCGCGGCAAATTCTGGATGTGCGTTGTTTGACGATTGGAGCAGCGAAATTCATATGAATTCAAGACAAAATAGACCCGAGACGGGATATATCGTACTTTTCCGTCCCTTGTAACTCATATATAAAATACAATCCAGACAAAGAGCAACTGTTCATCGAGTGCGGCGTCGCTCGTCACGCCCGCCAGCGCAGCATATTACGATTGTCTTGTCACATACTCCACATTTTTGCGATGAAAAAATTAGTACGCTCCAAAATCTGCAGTTTACTTCAAAAAATACCTTGTGATAAGAGGTTAACACAGCATGGTGTTTGAAAATAACATTTTTGTCTTTCAACCTGAATTCTGAAACATCTTCGGACTAATTTTGCTTTCAGAAACGACTTTGCAGCAACGACGAGGCTTGTGGCTTAAGAAGCTTTGCGGGAGAGATGAGGTAAATGAATGATTTGTTTATCAATGAATTATCCTGTACACTCTAATCGTTCCAATCAACTCTAATCGTTCTCATATTTACTGAAATAAAAAAATAATCTTTATATTCCATAGTATATATTTGTCGATAACGGAGAACGAATGCGGTTGAAAGAGGGAAGGGCGCTTTCTGAAAAAATCTCAAGAATAAAAAAACTAAAGAAAAAACCTAAACCTCTCAAGTATATTTGCCATTTTCCTTGAGTCCAGAAATTTCACCTTTATCCAATCACAATAACTTTTTTCTCGATACATTGTAACACATGTGAGGGCAGAACTTATGAGTCTAAAAATTTTCCAAGACCAACTGCTTAGAAGTACTTTATTTAGCGCGAGCTCCCTTTTAGCGGACAGTTGAGGACTGTTCTTGCAGGACTGGTATGGACGACACACCTAAACAGAAATATGGCTTTTGGAATCAGGTACCCTCGCCCCAAAGCTCTCTTTCTCCCTTTAGGTTCAAGCAAAAGTTTTCATTTTAAGTATGGCAAATCTAGTTTATCTATGGGATTTCTTTAGATGCAGCTTCGAAGCTTAACAGCGATCATTACGGTCTCAGTTTTTAGTCTCCAGAGCCGTTAAGCCTTGTTGATTTTCTGAAGTGAGAAGATAAGAAGCCATGACCTGAATGGCTCAAGCAAAATTGTTGTTCCCACTCAACAGCTAAGAATACTGATTATGATTATGCTCCATGCTGCGATACGATATCCGTTGCCGCAGAAACTGCAGTCTTCTTCGCTGCGAATCGTGGAGACGTTGTTGAGGTAAGGTTGGACCTTCTTCACCAGCTGTTGAATCGGGAAAGCGACAACAGTGGGTGGAAAACAACTGATACGAAAGAAATGACACAGTTTTGTTGCTTGCCCAAAGAGAAAAAAGAGAAGAAATGGGTTTCTTGGAGGAAGCGCCAAATCCATCCCCTCACGCTGCGTTCATACTTCGCGGTAGCGTCCACCAGCGTTTCAAGCGTCCGTCAGCGTCATCAACTAAGAAGGCATAGGTATTGATCACAAACGGCAGCGTCCACCAGCGTGCACCAGCAACCATCTGTCTCAAGGGACTAGAAAAATATGGACATAGATCTAGCGTTCAGCAGCGTACTCCAACGGCCAGGAGCGTAGGAAGACAGGAGGGTAGCAGTAAGCTGGTAGAGTATGGGGAAGTAGAGGGAGGAGACAATTGGGTTAGGCGTTGTGGAATTATGGCGTGTGCAACCGCACCGTACACCACACAGTACCATACTCTTGGTCGCTTGTCAACGCTGGTGGACGCTGGTAGACGCTAGATCGATATCCATACCTTCCTAGTCCCTCAAGACGCTGATGATCACTGGTGGACGCTGTAGACGCTGGTAGACGGTGCCATGAAGTATGAACGCTGCCTGAGACGCCCATGGTCAGCGAACAAGACTGTTAAACATGAGTAAAGAAGATGGTTTCCGTGATATTGATTGGATATAATACTCCTGGTAGTGGTGTAGTGAGAAGTGACGCGCTTAGCGGTCCTGGGTTTAAACCACGGATCGACACGCGCCCAGGCCAATCAACCCTTGTATTTACCCTCCAGCGACGGTAAATTGGTACCAGATTCGTCCCGGAGGATAAGAACACTGTTCGGCTGGCCCCGCAAGTCATTGTATAGGCCACATAGCATTCAATAAACCACTACGATTCTGAATGGAAGTAGAATGCGTGCCGCATCCCATGAAAGGGATTGATCAACGGCGAGGACTTTATCCTTTATCCTTTACAATAGTCCTGTCGGAAGCTTTTCACTGGCGATGATAGGACATATATCAGCACCTAATTAGTTCGTTGACCTCAGAAATAATTGGGAGGCGATGATATTAGCCCTGGCAGATAACCATTGGGTGGCAGCGCCCGTTATACCAGAGCTTTATGTTCCTGGCAGCAGAAACGGAAGATCAGCAGTGTGAATGAGTTGGGCAGCGAACCCTAGTGGAACCCATTTGCCATGGCTCTGAATTACTTTGAGCTACGGGAGTTGTTTCGGAATTGTTTTGTATTGATAAGGTAGTTTCCCTTACTGTACATACGATCAATCATAACTGTCCTTTCCGGGATTTCTCTCGTGACAGAAATCCAAAACTATTGAAAACTGTTGGGGAGCGACCCTATACTGTGAGGTGCCGAGGTTAACCCTTGTCCCGACATTTCAAAATTTCTTAGTCTGGAAAACATTTTTTTTCTTCAAGCATCAACACAGTGATCACTACTACAGAGCTTACATAAAGGTCTAAAGACCTTTGTAATGTCACAGTGTTATTTGAAAGTCACTCGGTAAGAAACCCTGCAAAAGGTACTGTAATGGTTTAAGAAGAGAGAAAACCCATGAAAACAAGATTAAAGTAAATGTCATTTGAATCTGACCTATACAAATGAAGAAATCACGAATCTTGCTTGTGATGAACCTGTTTGAAAAAAACCGCATACTGTAGTCATCATCACGCTTGCCATTTACAAACAAATCGGACTTACTTGCAAATATGCAGACGAACATTGACAGATTAGATTATGCCTAAGTATATTTCATTACGCACGTCGAAG